CCCCCTTCTCACCCTGAATTCGAGTTAACCGTGAGAAATTCGTTATCGGGAGTGAAAATTTCATTCGAGATATCCGGAAATTCGAGATAAGCGAATTCGAGTTAAACGGAGCATTTAACATGGTGTCCTACGGGGTTCCGCCGGGACCAAGCTTTGAACTTCGAGATAAGCGGAATTTCGACTTATCAGGATTCGAGTTAACGAGTTTTCACTGTATGTACATTTAGTAAATACTGGACTGAATGAAGGAGATACGTATTGTGACTGATTCTCGGCCTGCAGACTAACCTATAGAAAATATGACTGGCACAGCAGGAACTAATGAGTTGATCTCATTCATCTAAACTAGGTGGTTTCCTCTTGGGAAAAAGAAGTACGTGGCTCGAAAACAATCTGAAAAGAGAAATGTATTCAATGATGTAGTTTGATGGCCTATTTAGATCCTCTAAATATGTGATAATGTATTTTTTCTATTCGAAAAAGGATGGAATGTAGGATACGAGAACGGTAGGCTTATGTGAAAACGCATCGCGTTCGTTCCCCTCCCTTGTATCAGTACAGTACCTCGTCATTTTTCCTAGAAAAAAAAAAGTGTCTTGAGACGGATAAATTGATATCTAATACAGCATCTCGCCAGAGATGTATTGATTGAGTGTATCTCATATCGATATTGCATTTCGTTCTCATCCTAATAAAAGTTGTTCGGGGGCAAAGAATGAGATATTTTCCATGCTTCTCCTGGCTTTGTCCACCCTTCATGTTGTATGCTATTTTGACGTTCCTTTATTCTCCCATGCGATAGGTCATCCATACATTGTTCCATAAAAGGCTTCGTGCCTTTACGTCAGGAGGCCCTACCTCACTTAGAAGGATTTAGGATCGGAAAAAATATATTGGGAATAGACCGGAGTTGGGATTTCAATTTTCAACCTCACTTAGACTGATCAAGGAAGAGCTCTATTTGGGTACATTCAAAGTGCGGCCCACTTTCTATTTTGATGCAGTCTACTTCGATGTACTAATAATTTACTTTTTCATATTTAGCGCCTTAAACAGCACTCACGTAAGTAATGGCGTAAAATGGCGTAGATTGCAGATGTGGAATTCTTAGCCCAAATTTTCAACTTCTGTCAATCTTTAGATATGCAGATATTTATAATTACGTATTTATTTTAAAAAGTTTCTACAATTTAAAATGTTTGCATGCTTACAGTTAGATGTTTAGATGTTTTAGTATTTAAATGTGCGCCTGCTAAATACGCCAAATGGACTTGTGGAATTCCAGCGACGATTGAGCAACTCTTCTTCGGATTTGAAGTTTTACTCCCTTCGATCGTCGGCTCTTTTCTCACTCTGACTGCCAATTTGGATATTTCAAGCGGAGATTTTCTTCCAGACACTACCTATGACAACTGAACCCTTTACTTGGGGGGAAGGGGGGGCAGTCTCGAGATGGAGCTCAGTTTCTCTACACAGAATTGTTTACTTCTAAGAGATAGCGGAATTATTTAATGTGGAAGCAATCCTCACAGGTGCATTTGAAACTAATTAATTTTGCGCTCTTTTAGAGCTTCTATTGTCAAAAGAGAGTGCATAGCCTTTCAGGCTTGTAGAGGCATTTCAACCACCAATAAGCCAATTAGCCTATCGAACTGAAACAGTTCTGTATTCTATGGTCTATCGATCATTGTCTCAGCATTTATTCATTGGCATCAGCCTGTTCCTGTCCAATCATTCTAGTGCACGAGATTGCAAGTTAAAGCACCTGATTTATATTTCAACCACAAGTATCTTGACGTACGAAGAAGAGAAAGAGTCTTGTGAGAATGCCCTAAAAAGTGAGAGGATTTTCCTTCCTTTCTCCTTGGGACAACCGTCACTGTAAATTGGACTGATCGAGGTGTACGATACCGGTGTTTGATGGGCGCAGCTTTATCAGAGAATGAAGATAAATTGATTTTACATAAATGTCAAGGCATCATTACACGGTGTATTTCATTCAAGATGATTCTTGCATCTGATGTATTGTTCCCTTATCGTATAAGGTAGCACGATTCTTGGTCGGCTTTGTACGAAAGCGTTTCGCCAATGTAGCATAGTGCCTTCAGTGGAGTGCAATCCCTTGCATTTGGAATGGGTGGATGGATGGATGGATAGATGGCTCCCCTTGCCGAAATACTGTAAGAAGCTTAAGTCTGAGTCTGAGCTCATGATCTATATCGACCATGGCATTGTTCGATTCCTTGATTCCTCTACCTCTTCCCCGATCACGTTTTCCACATTTCCCCTTCCATCGCCTCTCCTTGAAGACTTCCCTTGTTCCCATCCCCTCCACCACATCTTCTGAGATTCTCTTCCTCTTCTCTTGGACGAAATTTCCAGAGATGGATTCATTTGTTACGCCTTGACAAATTTCCCATCATGAAAGACAGGGGAAACGACATGAAGGGTGAAAGACGCTTTTTAAGCGTTCCTGGAGGATCATTTCTCACGGGTTCTTTGGAATGGACAAAAGAACAGAGAGAAGCATTGAGTCAAGGCACGTGTCATGCTCCTTGACTCGAGAAAGAGAGAGAAACACGTGTAAACATGCACCAAAGTCTTTCGGCATCATCCCTATATACACAGTCCTCCGTTTCTATGGCTTTTCACCCCAGATGTTCCCAGCTGTTGGATTTCCCATGCATGAAAACAATCCGGGCTTATATCAGGCTGGAAAGAAACCCGAAATAAGATCCTCCTTTGCATCTCCCGCCGTGGTAACGAGAAAGAGAAGCCCTGTTTTGTATCCCGTTCCACTTATTGGGAGATTGGCTCTAAATCGGTAAGGGATCGGGGTTAATTAAGGGTAAGGGGGTAAGGGCTCGAAATCGGGAAGACATACCTGTAGGAGGAAGGGGTGCATTCCATATTTCGAAAGGGTATAGATTGTACTGGCTGTGGCTGAAGTGTGAATGGCATGTTACCTGCGTGAAGGGAAAGGCATGTTGTTGACTTTTCTTTCAAGAAACCCCTTTGAGTCCTTTGACATTTAATTTAGGGACGTAGTGGACCCCATGGGGTAGCCGTTGACAGGGAAGTCCTCCTTATTAACCGCGTGTCCTTTCTTTTCGAGAATCCCAGTCGTTAATAAAGCCGTCTCAGTCAGGGGTCGTCGTAAGAAGAGAAATATCGATGCCCTGTCCACGAGAAACCGTGGGCCACCATCCGAGCTACTCTCCTAGTCCTCGCTGATTCCAGTCAAGATATGCTTTTCTTTTTCTTTCTCTTGTTACCTGGAGAGATACCTTGACAACGACATCCTACTCTCTTCCAACGTCTTTTCTTTTCCTCTCCCTCAGAAACAGAGTGCAGAGGAAATCGTGGGTTGGATACACGAGACACTTGAAGCTAGCAGGAGAATCTACATACCGTAGAAGAATTCCTATCCCATAGAAAGAGAGAGGCTGCCCTTTGCTTGCAGTCCTTTCCAGCGAGTAACTTCTTGTTTAACGTTAACGAGAGCCGGGAGAACGGAATGGAGAAATGGCTGATCTCTATCGTGACAGGTGCAATCTTTGGTGTGCTCGTGACTCATTAGTAGATCCTCCAATTCCTGTTCGATGATATACTGTCTGGCGTATCGGCCTTCTCCACTTCGATCACTCTTTCCCCCTGAAGGAATTCGTTACATTGCATTGATCTGTCAGTCAGTGAGTCAAAGACCGAGGCACCTTGATGAATAGCTGGAGAAGAAAAAAGGTGTTTGTGAGGGAAGGACCTTCATTGTGCTGCCCGTCTTCCGGTCGCCTCTTCTCTAAGCGGTTTTCTTCGTCTTTGTGCAGAATGCCGTGTAAGGATTGCGGAATTTTAACTTTTTTTCGTTGGGGGAGGAAGAACTGTGAAGTAGCAACAAAGTAAACACGGAAGGAGCGATATGTGATGTCACGACATGACGCGGCAGAAGGAGGAGAGAAAAGGAAAACATGGCATGCTACCGGTCAGTGTTCATCTCGGTCGATCACGAAAACCCCATTCACAAAGGGGACAAAAGAAGGGAGGACATGTATAACGGGAGGGAAACCGTGAATCAGGGCACGTCCCTTGGATCCCTGATGAGGGAATAGAAAAAAAGACCGAGAGAGGAAAAAAGAGCTAAGGAAAATAAAAAAAAGGAGGTCGATCGGTCTCCGGATGGAAATCTCTGGTTCGGATTCAGTCGAGGAAATGATGTCATTATAGACAAGATCTGGCACTCAGTTTCCATGGTTGTTAATCTCTCTTCCTTCCGTCACAGGGGTTGCAGAGGGAACTCAGCAATTCGAGAAGGAACCTTCTTACACGGAGGTTAATCCACGAGGAGAAGCGACGCTTCATTGTCGCATCTTCAACCTCATGGGAGAATGTTCGTGGCAAAAGGACGGACTCGTAAGTTCAATATTCTTTCAATTCGTAGGGTGAATGGCAATCACAGATCCATCATGGAGAACAAATCCTCCATTAGTCCAGAATTTTCTCTAAGTCGTAGTAAATGTCTTAATTACATGCCAAAGAGGGGTATTAAGTGAAAGGAATCTCGCCGAGGGACGGACTCGTAATGATGTCGCGCTTTCTTTCTCCCTTTCTTCCTTCCATCCATGCATCCGAATATAATGACGCGAGGTAATGAGTGGAAGAATCCATCAGCAGAGTGTAGTCGGAGGACACGTGGAGAGAACATTATTCCATATCGTAGTCTGTCCCCATTCCTTTCAGCTTCGCTCTTCCTTTGCCTCTTCCCCATCGTGAGAAAAAAAGTCGATAAATAGCATCGAAAGAAGGAAGAAAGGGGAATTCATGGGTAAAGTTCCTGTTCAATTTCCTGAGCTTGCCTTGCAGGATTCAAAAGCACCACCTCTTCCTTTCCGACCGATAACCTGAAGAGAGACCATTCTCATGCCGATAAAGAGTGCCAGTCAAGTGTTAGCGAGTTGAGCATTTATCCGTTCTTCATCCCAGCCGACGGGGATCTATCCTGGGAAGTACGAATGGGCGGGGGACCGAGAGAAGGGAGATTGCAGTCTGAAGATCCTCAACGCGGACCTGAATTATGATGATGGGGAATGGAAATGCCAAGTGACGGCAAGCGCATTCACTCTCCGAGATGCCCTCACTTCCACCACTGCTCGCCTTGTCGTCAGAGGTATCTTCCGAGTAGGCTTAACTCGAAGTCAGTAAGAAGAAACTCGCTGAAGCAGCCCCATTTTGAGAGGCCTGTCAGGCCTTCTGCAGAGATTCAGTCTTACCCGCTTATTCTCTTCGAGTCACCTACACATCCTTCCATTTACCTAAGCTGACTGACAGAGTCGAAAGCAGCACGGGAAGGTGTTCGAGAGTGGGAGACCTCTCCCATCTATGACGCGTTCGACTTCCACATCCGGACACTTATGGCACCGAAGACCAAGGATAAGAGAGAAGTAAATGTCACCCATAGAGGTCTGAACTTCTCCCCTTGATTCTCAGGTGTGAATGTATCCCAGTATGTGGAAGCCTAACTTGTGCAAGATGGGTGAGATTCGGGGGCCTTCAATGCCTTCTCGTGCTGGTTTCTGCCAATGACGCTGGTCTCCGCTCGTTGCGGAATGATGCTATACTTATTATTATGCCGCATCTCATGTCCATAAGTAAGTGTACATTGGCTTTTTTGGTATTGTCAGACGTGTTCCTTGCCTTTCATGAAAACTGGTGTATTTGTAGCTTTCTCTAAATTACATCTAAACTCAGTCCAAATCACGCATATACATCTATTGCGTCCCAGCAAACAAGGCTACATTGGACCAACGTTGTATCAACGTTCGGAACGTTTATTCAATGTTGATTCAACGTTGTGTTTCAAATTGTTTGCCGGGGTACTTCTAGTTTACGACTTAAATTTCGCATGAGGGAGCTGACTACGCGTTTTAGCTCACTTTTAGATTTGGTTCAGATTTCGACAAAGCAAAAGCGAGGAAGAGGCCCCGGGGAACCTTCTCAACAGAATGCCATAGGGGATTGTTATATCTTCTTAAGACTGTCTCTTTCGTTGTTGACAGTGCCTCCGAATTCGCCTCAAATTGAATACAAGACTCACCAAGTGATAGAAGGAAACCAGCTGAGTGCCCAAGAGTTGAAGCCCGCAACTGTAAAATGCATCAGTCGATTCGGGAATCCTCCTGCTGGTCTTCGATGGTTCATTGGTTCGTCCATTCCCTAATTTAAATGTTTTATTTTTTATTTTTTATATGCTCGCAAGGAAAAGGAGAGAGTAGAAAATAAGAAAAGACTGCCATTCCAGTCCATAACACGCCATAATATCAAGTGAGGAAGAAGAGCGTTAGTTCCGCTTCTTGCAAATGCGTGAATCAGTCGCGTGGAAATTCTTCAATCTCCTTTATTCCCTTTCTCCAAGTACCGTAATTCTTTTTTCTTCATCCACACACTGCAGTCATAAAATTTTGCTAAATGTAGCCTGAAATCCGGAATTTGGTAATGGGTTTTTCCTTCACCCTTCTCTCGCAATCTGCATAGGCGAGGAGGATGTGACCAAAGCATCTACTCAGAGGAACTTCACGGAGACAGAAGACGAAAGGAAGTGGAGGGCAGAATCCGTGTTGGAATACACATTCAATAAAGAGGATCATGAGAAGAAACTCCGATGTTTGGCCTTCCACGAGGCCTATGATGCTCGGACCCGGGAAGTCCAGCTCATCCTCGACATTCAGTGTAAGGCCTTCTCCTCCCTTCCCTATATTAGACTAATATGGCATATTTCCTTTTATTGGTATCGGGTACGTTCAAATACAGTGTCAGGACGAGTGGTTTGTTCCTCTTTCCCTTTTTTTCGTCATGTTCCTCATTATGCCTATTTCGCCTATACCACGTCTAACGATGTGCGCAGAGGAGGCTTAACTCTTGGCCTGACCCTTACCTTTTTTTTTTTTCCCGGTGGCACTTTATAAGTGACGGAGCTATTCAGGCTGTTGGCTTCATTCACTCTCCATTCAACCTGGCTCATTCCATTCATAACCTGTTCATTTCTGCAATGAACTCAGTGGCAACATTTTAAAACAAGAGGTCTTAAAAAGTCTGATAGGAGATGGGAGGACAGGTGCAGCGACTCCTTCCTAGATAAGCGTAATACGGAAATGAATTTTAAAAAAGTGCACTGGGGTTGCACCAATGTAACTAATTCTCGAATGCGCCAATAGAATCCAGCAATGCAATAGGTGGGAAGGATCTGTGCATTGTAAAGGTAAAACCCGGGAAATTCATCCAGTTTCCAATTCAGCGAAGCGGATTGCCCTGCCAGCTGCTCTTCCCGAGAAATACGAATGAAATCGGAGATGATAAGGGGCATGAGATGATAAGGGACAATTACGCGTGGGATTGCGGAAAGAGAAGCCCTATCCCGTTTTGCATGCCTCATGGATGTATCTTTAGTTGCTGCACTATGTAGGTTTGGGTCCCTAACGACCCCTCTCACGACAGAAATGAGACCGATTCGACAATCCCAAAGAGGTCACGGAAAACAGGAGTTCGTGATTGTCTCCCCTTTTTTTCCATCTCATATACATTTCGTGACGTGTCTCAGCCTATATCCTTTTCATGTTGAGGAAGTGAAAGGGGGCCTTTTTTCCCTCATCTTCTTCAGATGCTCCGATCGTGAGACTGGAAGGAATCCCACAGCAAGAAGTGGAAGAAAACGTGGATGACGTCTCCCTTCATTGCAAAGTTGATTCCAATCCCCCTGGCAATATTGTTTGGAGGAAATCCGGACACGAATCCATCTTCAGTTTCTCGGTAAGCCCTGAAAATATTCTTTAAAATCCGTGGAACGGTAAGGATTTGCGTGAGGTGTGGAGGATGAGATTTTGATGAGGTGAAGGCATTGGCCTTTTGGATGGTCGCTGTCTCTCCCCGCTCCATCGCGAATGCGTGGCTAATATCACCTGCACCCTCTCTCATGGCTCTCTTCCTTTCACGCTTCTTCACTCTCTTTCTCCTCTGATTATTGTGTCGGCAGGAGACATTGGATTTTCGTCCTGTGGTACGAGATACGACGGGGACGTACGTTTGCGAGGCAAAAAACAATGTCGGCGAGAGTAAGGGTCTCACCGCCACCATCGACGTCAAATGTAAGCGGGAAAAGTCGATTAATTTTATTGCGTATTTATTGTAACGATTGTTACGGGAGGTCTTCCATTTTTGAGGATTCATCTGTTGATAATGAGATGAGCTAGTGGTAGTGTTATGATTCTGAAAGATGAGTTCGAGCTGAATTTTTCATTTGAGAGACGTTGATGACTGTGAGAATTAATGAGGGGGGAATATGGACAGATGCGCCGGTGATCAAGAGATATGGCCCCTCGAGTCGAAAGGTGTCTGCGGCCCTGGGGAACGAAACGATTCTGACCTGCGAAGCCGAGAGCAATCCTCCTCCATCCTATCAATGGCTCCAAAAGCCCTACGAAAATGCCCAAGTGGCTTACATCCGGGGCCGGAATGCCACCCTGCGTCTCACCAACCTCTCTTATGAACATCAAGGCCTCTACGCCTGCTCTGTCGCCAATGTGATCAAGGGTCGTGAGAGGAAGATCCAAAGCGAAGCCATCGCACTCCACGTCAGAGGTCAGCCTATGTACCTTCACCTTTCTCACGTGAAATCCTACCAGTTTCGTAAAGAACCGTCTCCTAAAGAACCGCATGTCTCTAAAAGAGGAATGTTTTGGGATGGAGGGATATGCTTCCTTGCTTCCCCCCACCACACACACACACACTTCCTCGTGAACTGCCCTTCAGACACCCCTGGCCTAAGTTAAATGCGGTGCATCATCCGTTGTTTAATGTTCCTCAGCCGCACCCAACTATGAAAGTCCGTCTTCACGGTCGTGGTCGTGTGTGTGCGTATCTAGAATATAGAAAGCAATGAACTAGGCCTTTCTCGCGTGACTTCCATGGCTCCATAATGTATCACCACAGCCCGAGCCTGGGGGATGAATCACCGAGACCGTGAGATTGATGAGCCCTTTATCCCACCTCAGACCGTACACAGTACGTTCCGATGAACCTCATGCTTTCCCTCCCTTTCCCTTCCTTCCCCTCCCCTCCCTTCCACAGCTGAGGTATTTTTTTCATTCTCTCGATAACAACCTGGATCCATAGACGATACGGTCGGATGGTTCGGAACAGAGTAATTATAGATGAGTGGCATTGATCATGGATGAGTGGCCTGGGTCCGACAAATTATTTCCCGACCACTCCAAATCCTGAAAGACAATCCCGGTTTGGTTGGCTCGACGCGATGGGAGAACTTCTTAATCATGTCGGAAAAAAGTTTTCCTCGGTTCCCCATTGCAGGGTGTGGGTGGAGAGGAAGGGCGAGGTCCACCTGCCCAACCCTACGTATATGGACTCAGGATAGATTTATTATAATCCCGCTGCATCTTCACCTCACTCTCAACCACAGGGGACAGAGAGAGCCCATCATCATCATAATCTCCTTCCTCGTGCCTATATGAGCAAAAAAAAAAAGGAAAGATCCGGACCCACCCGAGTAATGGGATAAGAAAATTCTATTCCGCAAAGACAAGGGGTGTAGCACCGACGGCGCAGGTTACGGGGAATACGTTATATAGCGTAGGCCAATTTGGATAACGTTGATTCCCAAAAACGCAAGGAAGAAAGAAAAAACAAAAGCAGAAGCATGTCGTGTCCCTTTCGCATGACCTGACAAACGCAGCCTTCAAAGATTGAAAAGATTAATGCATTAAGCGCAAATATCTGCGTAAATCCGGGTAAGTTAGAACATGGAATAAAATCAATATATTGATCTGATTTTAACAGAATTGCCCGCTCCCATTGACCAAAGCTTCCCCCAAGCTTTAACGAATGATTCGGGAAGATCTTGCGAGGCTTAGTCACCCGTGGAATTGGAAATTGAAAGGTCGATTCCTCCCGTTGTCAGAATGTGTGACAGTGTGACAGTTGGGGAGGAAATCTCATTTGACTCTGGTGACTCTATTCAGAAGAGTGCCTTGTTAGCATCTCCCCTCCGCCTTCCTGCGATCAATCAATCAATCAATCAATCGATGGAGCTGAGCTAGGCTTGAAGGAACAATCCATCATTCCATCAATTCCCTGGAGACGAGGGGTTTCCCGTCTCCTCGTCTTGATGGATGAGGAGTCTGGAAAAAACCAGACCGATACGGCTCAAGCTTTCGATAACAAAAACGGGGGAGCAAAGGACAAAAAAATCCCCGTGAGACACCAGGCAGCATGACTTCCTATTTTGCTTCTTCCTCTTCTTGTTTTGTGGTGATTATTATTCCTCCCTTCCTGGTCATCCCCGAACTGCCAGAGTCTGTTCTTATCTAATAATGCACAGGATGGAAGGGAGGGAATTTCCTTTCCACTCCAGCCTCACTTTATTGGATCTTACTCTCTTCCCTAATTATCTCTGCTCTATCGAATTCCTTCCTTTCTCTCAATCTCTCATCACCATCTGAGAATAGTATGCAGGGAAATCAGATGCATGCCTTCATCTTGTAACTCGATTTTGGATCGAAGGAGGGAGTGGGGATCACGCACGGATCGAAGAGATGATGCATGACTCATAAAAGCATAATTTAGGAGCTGGGTTTATGAATGTTTAAATGCCTGCGCTGGATCAGTTGTCATGGGCCGCGTCACATGGTCATATATTCCTCATGAAGGCGGAGAGTCACGCGAAATTCCCCCTTCATTGTCGTTAGATGGCCAAGACACAGGGCAGGGTGTGTCTTCCCATCAGGATCAGATCGAAACAGAATGATAGCAAGGGATGAATGATGGGAGTCTCGACTGTCATGTCGAGAAGATCGGAGAAAGAAAAGGAGTAGAAAAAGGAAATCACTCTAGCCCTGACCTGTTGAATCGTGCAGGTCAAGTCGACTTCGTTCGATTGCGTCACAGAGGCCCAGACTGCTAGAAATTGGCTCGTATTATCCTCTAGGTCTGTCTTGTTTACCTCGCAGTCGTGTGTTCTGTTGAGACTTCCATCCGTCCGCACGTGTTTCCCGCTTCCCTGATGAGCCTCTCAGACCCCCTTCCCAAACATCAACAGACTCAGCTTCCCCTTACAATACAGGCTACAACATAACCCTCTCCTCAAGAAGGAAGTAGGTAGAGAAGAGGAGAGAGCAATTTCCCTAATTGAGCCATGCAGTTGGGAGGAGAGATTGATATTTCTGTCAGAGGAAACCCCCTTTTGCATTATGATTGAATTGTGTGGAGCTCTGAGAGAGAGCGCTCATTCCCCCTATTCTCCTCATCTTTTTTTTTTCTTCTTCCATCCCTCTTTTCCTATTATCTTAATAATTCCCCTTTCCATCCATCTATCCGTCGATCCTGGGGCTTTCCTGGCCAGATATTCCTCACTTGTCTGCATTGACAGGCCTGAAATTGCCTTCAACTTTCCCCCCCCCCCCCCCCATTCTCCAGAGAAACTATATGATATAGTAAGGGGAAGTTTATGGTCTCGTGAAATAACGGAGCAATATTCCACGCTGTCATGGAATGGACTCGCGTGGAGTTTGCAAGAAGCAGCTGGCCTATTCGTTCTCTTGGGAATCAGGATCATAAATGAAGGGGAACGGGAAAGAGAGATCCGATCATTTTCCTGGTCTCTATTGGCACCTAGGGACCTCCTATCTGAAAGATTCATCGGCGCTCATATATCTACCATCAGGCACACAATATAGGGTGTGTATGGGGAGAAAATTGGCTAAATAGGACACATACCCAAAGTCTATATGTTTCCATAAAAAGCAGAACAGCAACAGTAAAGAACTTTCATTTCTGCACAAATCGCGTATTCGTTTCCTCAGAAGGGTCTTTTTCTGTCAATTGGTTACCTGAATTTTTCAAGAGACAAGTGGAGCCAGAGAAAAAAAAATAAGAGAGAAGAAAAAGAGTGTGAGAGGAGAAAGTGGATGAGCCTGGGCCTCTGCAGTACGAGTATCCCCTTTGCCCCTTGCCCATGGGAAGGCTCAAGATTAGATTAGAACACGAGGGGAAGATGGAAGAAAGCCCTTATTGCCCATTCATTTTTCTCCCTCTTTCCTCCCAATTTCTGTCGTCCAGCTTCCGCTGAAGAGCGCATCACCTTTTACCTGTATACGAGCATCGTCTTTAATATCATCCCGTCCCCCTTGGAGCGTAATATTAAAAACATGTAAAATCTTTTTCACTTGCTCGCTTTTCATCAGAACTATGCCGATATTGCTATAGAGACAATCACTTAGGTAAGTAGGTATCATGTAAGTAGACTTGCACTTTGCTATTCCAAGTGCGCTGCCATTGAAACAATTGGTAACTGATAGGGTATGACTCTCCCTTGAGGGAAACTGTGCTTCACAAATGGTCGACATGCCTCTAATCCACTTTTCTCGGCTTGATTTCTTAATTCCTCTACAACTGACTTGTTAAGCATGGGTCATGTATCACATTAGAAGGATAATGTGCAGTATAATACAATAGTTGTTGGGAAAAGGAAAAGGAAGTGACGCCTTTTCGGAATGTCCCTCGTTTCATGAACTTTGCTTCATCTCCTCTACTTTAGGGGCTCCACAGTTTCTGCCAAGTCGAGAAGCCGTGGTGACTGTCGCTCGAGGGGAAGATGCCGAATTAAGCCTCACTTTTTGCGCTGACCCTGAACCGAGGAGCATGTCTTGGGAATGGGGCTCTCTTGCCCTCGAAATGGGATCCTGGCGAGGGAAATACCACACCCAACTCCTCCCGGTTTGACCCTCGAGCAATCGACAATAGGCTATGTTCCTCCTCTCCTCTCTCCCAATGGGTCCATTTGCATTTCAAGTGTTTCAATCACTTCCGCAATCCCGTCATACAAGTAGCCTCCAGTTGGTCGATGACTGACTCGTTTGGAGAGGGATAGGGAAAGGGAAGGCAGAAAGATATTGATTGATTTTTCGCAACGTTGATTCAGGATCGGCGACAAGGTTGCCACGAAGCGAAGTTGACCATTAAGGAAGTGGAGATGGTGGATGCACGGAAATATACCTTCCTAGTGAAAAACGAACACGGCGAAGACAGCAGCTTTCTCGAACTCCACATCAAAGGTAAACTGTAATGTTCAATCCCCTGTTCTCATTAGAGAGCTCTCAAAATTTTCATTCCGTATTTTTTTCCATCTTTGTGCATTTCATACACACAGAACAAGTTACGATAACGACGGTGATCGGGATCGTTATCGGTTGCGCCCTGGTTCTCGTCTTGGCCCTTCTCCTTCTTCTGTACGCATTCAAGGCCGAGAAGTGGTGCTTCTCACGTGAGTCCATTCTCTTTCTTTTTTTTTTAAGCAAAAATGCTAAAATGTACGAATTAAGGGAAGGGAGCGCCTGAGAGGTAGGCCAGGCGGAAAAGTATGTGACTCCTGTCGACCTCCCGGGTCCGTCTATTCAAAGGCTTGCCATTGAAAGCTTCGCAGGAAACCCCCATCAGGGGGGTTCTTTTTCTCCCTCTTTCCTTTCCTTCGAAACAAACCCTCATCTTGCCACACGGAAGACACTAGAGTTCTTTCCCTGGAGAGATACATCTATCTCTCTTCCTCTCTCTCACGTGATAAATCTCCGTTAGTTCATAGAACGAAACTTCTCTCTTTTCTCTTTCAATTTGTCTTCATCGAACTTGACTCGCTCTTTTCTCATCCTTGCCTCAACAAGTCCTAGGTTATGTGGAACTGAAGATGGGGATGATGATGATGCGGGAGGAAATGGAGGGAATCGAGGGCCTAATTGCCCGGCCCCCTGCATCAATCTCACTATGGAAAGTGGATTCACACTGGGAGCTCCTATAGGGTTAATGGTGTCTCCCCAAAACAAGGAAGGAGAGTGACATGGAAACTCTATCCATGGATATTAACCCCCCTTCTCTTGTCTTCCACATCCCCTCTCTTCCTCCTCCCCATTTAATGCTCTCAGGGTGCAAAAGAAGGAGAGAGAGAGAGAAAATTCCACGATTGGCAATTTTTCTAGCTTTGCCCCTGGCCTCTCGCCTCATCTCATCTTCCCTCTCGCCTGTGGTGATCACTGCCATCATCATCATCATTTTCAGCTGTGCCTCTTTCTGTGCTTGTGTCTCCCTCTACAATCTACATGGACATGCTTGTCTCGTCCCAAATACATCCTTCATCTTAACACGAAGTTCATCTCCCTCCCTCATATCTTATATGCTCTCTTCCCTCTCAATCTTCTTCCTTGCTCTTCTGCTTCTTTTTCCTTCCCCCTCGATCTAGTTGTATCTGTTCTTTTTTAAAAAGACGAGCTAGGATGGAGAAGTTGGAAGGATGTAATTTGCCAGACCCTAATGCGTTCTTCCTTTATCTGGCTCCTGTCTGTGGAGTCGTAGAACCATTTCTCATGCTCACCCCATTATAACCTCTCTCCTCTAACCTCTGTCGAGGGATAATACAGTTTCATGAGGATGCGGAGTTGAGCCTCAGAGATTGGCTTTATATAGGGCCTGGGATATAGGGAATAGATGATAAGGGGCTTCCCTTCCCTTCATGTGGCTCTCCCAGATAAGAGAGAACAATCTCATTGCCAACAGGGGCCAATGCACGTTTCCCTCCTCCCCCAAAACCCATACTTTGTATTTCCCCCTTCCTCCTCTCTTCCTTCCTTCTTTCCTTCCCTCTCCCCTTCACTCATCCCCACCAACAGCTATACGGCTATCTCCTCTGGTAATACCAGGGATTGATTGTTTCCATCTGCCATGTTCTTGGAAGGGAAGTAAACTGTGCTCGGCTAGAAATCTCATGTGTTGTTTTGTGTCCTTGCAGAGAGAGGAGACTTCAAACCTTCGGATATCACAACGTGAGTATTTTTTTAATTACTTTTGGAGTCTGTTACTTTAAAGAAGACGAAGACCTATTGTGTTGATATTAAATCAGGGAGTTAGAGAAGGGAGGTGGACAGAAGAATGGAAGAGGATTGGTGGGTGGAAAGGGGCCAGGGTCTGGCGGGGCCATCCCCCCTGACGCCCTCTATGCTGTACCTCACAAGGCTACCAGCGACCATGACAAGGTTCGTCAGAGTCTTATGCTGGAGTTGTTCTGTCCGTATCACAATGAATAAAATTAAGGAATAAACTTAAGGAGGCCCCGAGTGATTTTGCGACATAAAATAAAGGTTCTTCTGCTGCTTTTGAAGCTGCATCCCGCTGTCATGGCATGTGATGTTCTTCCCTGCAGAGCAATGGAGAAGGGGGGAAAAATATAATCTATGCTGATCTCCAGCTCCCCAGATCCTCCAACAATGGGTCCATGCGAATCAGACCTTCTCCTTCCAATGGACAACAACAGCAACAAATACAGCACGGTGCTCATCGCTCGCCCACCGAGTACGCCCAGATCTCCTTCCAAAGAGCAGATGTTTGAGCTTTTCAGAAGAGTCTCTCTGGACAGCCCTGTGATAATAGGCAAACGAGCCATTGAGGACTCTGTCGTTTGACCTCGGAAACCAAAAAAAAAAGAGAAGACAATAGAGCCCAAAACTCAGCTCGCTCTCTTGCATTGACATGTGTCTCATTCGAGTCATCCAGTATTTATTATCACTCGCTAAGAGGAACCTGTGATTATTCCGCGGTCATTTTTCGTGTTCTTCTCAAAAGTGTCTCAGGCATGATGTCATGGTGTGTTTCTTAGCTATCGTTGTATTTTCTCTCTTCATCTGTCGCTGTCCGTCAGTGTGAGAAAATCTCTTGCCAGTGCAGTGTTGTTTCACTCTTGAGTGTGTTCTAGTGACCTTTATCCTCCCCAGCCTGGTTCTAGTCCCACACATCTGGCTGGCTGCAGGAAGACTTGAATAATAAAACCTCCTTTTTTTCCTAGATAAAAAATAGTTGATTTATGAAAAAAAAAGAGGAAGGACACCTGCGGAGAGCGTGTCACAACAGTGTCGGGTTTCATGCCAAACGCATAATGCCTTTTGCCCAACGGATGTCTTATAGAAGGGTCTGCTGTGTCATCGAGTAATAACAGCCCTGCTTTCCCTGTCAATCTCGTTTCACCATCTATGGCGTAAATGGGAGGAAATCTGATATTGGATACATGGAGGAATTCTCCATTCTTATGGAAATCCTAGCGTGAAAAATCTTGTGTCCACTTCGATCACATCTGCTTTGGGGGATCCAGAAAATCCTAATCAAATGTCCGGATCCTATTACACGACCCAGTGTGGTCTCTCATCTCCAATCAGCCTGTCTTCCCTTCTTCATTATTATTTTTTTCATCCTTACAATAAAATGAATGGTTATCACGTGGGAATGGTACGACAACGCTCTCATGTCACGAGGGCATCGTTCAAGTTAACTAATTGGATCGGCTGCCGACGTTATATGGATTTCTACTAATCCCACTTGGAGATGTAACGAAAAACTTTATGGGTATACCCCAGTGATGTTCAGATGTTGAAAGGAAGCGGAAAGGGGGAAACTTATTCAAGGTCGCCCCTGGTGTGGTGTGATGTGGTTAGGTAACTGAGGAAAGGGAGAGTGGTCGAGGAAGATGAAGACGTGTAGACTAAGGCTAGGCTGTCTTCCTTCCATAGCCAGAGGGTATGGATGGAATTCACATGGCCCGTGATGAATCGCCACTCCTGACCACATTCAGGGTGGTCCCCATCCCTGCACCCCTAGGCTACCCCATATGTCTTCCCTTGCTTTTCAATTAACTCCCCCTTTCTGTTCATCCGACCTTGTACAGCCACTCGATATCCGTTCCCTGGCAGGACTCGAGTAAGATCATGATGAGTATACAGTGTAACGAGGGAATTCGTTACGTATTATTCGAGCGAGAGGGAGAAGAGAGAAGTCGCGCCTTCTTGGAAGGTTGGTTGTTTTTCATAAGGAGGAGAGGAAAAGAAGGCCTGTGATGATGAATGATGAGAGGTCCAAGTTCGGATATGCTCCCCTCTCCTCTGCTCCCTCTTGGATTAATCGAGGAGAAGATTGCCATGCCAGCCAGTTCTAATGCAATGAGTGTCCCTCGTTTAGGACGAGAATCCTCGGAGGAAATCAAGTATTTCCTGGCTGGACGTACATTGTCCACTTAATAGGGTCGCTGCATTAGAATCAAGTCTCCCTTCTGCATGAGAGGAGAGGGGAAAATTGGTTTCATCTCGTGAGATCAGTGGAGCGGAGTAACAGACTTAGAGACGCGGGACAGGCTTTTCACAGGCTATCTCCTTCGGCTCTTGGACAAATTAATGAGCGCCTGAACTTTGACCCTCACCTTCCTGTATTTGGACAAGGGAGAAGTCTCTATTACCCCATGACATCAGCAGATTCTTCCCAGACATTCCCTCTCATGGGTGTTTCCCGAACCTTCCTCCCGATGCTGTTGTACTTGGCTCGAAGTTCTATTCTCTTTAACGATGCGAATAAGGGACTCGACCGAGGGAACCCTCTTGGCTTGGAATAGTCGTTCTTCCACTCCATCGAATGGAGACGAGCTTTTCGTCCCTTCTTTTTTGTTCTCTCATAGTCCATTCTTTATGTGGTAGAGGGGAAGGAAGGGACAAGGGGGGAAGGAAGTAATCTCCGGAGAGGGATGTGGGCTTGACACTTCGATTAAAGCTCTCCCTTGTGTGAATGCAAATTTCTCGGTCACATTTCAGGCTCGTGTGTATCAAATTAACTCATCTGCTCGGCATCTCTCTTCACCAGTCGATCTCGGAACTTTGAATAGCTTTGAGCCGCGTTCGAGGAGTTGGTAAAGGGCCAAAACCCATCATGGAGAGTAAAGGGGTTAAGGACTTATTTCTCCTTCACGTACGATTGAGTAATGGCCACGATGGGAAAGGCAGAACGATGAAGGTTCTTCCCACAGACGCAGCTATCCATCAATATTCTTTTTTTCTCGTACTTCTCCCATGAATTGATCACGGCTGGAAATTTCTGTCAGAAGCTAGCCAGATGATGTCCATGCATGTCAAGCTGAAGTCGATAATGAAAGAACATGCCCAGTCACGATCTATGTATCTAGAGAGAAGAGATGGCGTGTCATCGCAAGAGCCTCCTCGTCATTTTTCATGGACCCTAAAATGAACCTGTTCCTCGCTATCTCCTCGACACATGCGGTGATCATGAGAAGAAGAGGCATTCCTTTCATGAGACCATGACGATCCTCTCATTCCTTCATTCCTCTCTCTCTCTCTCTCTCTCTCCCTCTCCTGGTCCAGGTCAAGAGCTCATTTTCTATCACTCATATTATCATATACAACAGTCTTCTTTGTGTTATTTTTCTAAAGCCTGGTGTCACTTGTCCCTGGACTTCCTGTGATGGATATATACTTACCTTGTCTGTGGGATTGCTTCCCATATCTCTCCCTACATGATATTCCCTAATGAGTCCATCCATCACGTCCTCTTTCAGGGCTCTTCCTATTCCGTTCCCCCTCCAGATCCATCCCTACCGAAGACACGTGGCCTGGCCAATATTGTACAATCCTCTCCACAAAGCCCATCGTTTGTAGTTTCCCTTATGTGGAGCATCCTTGGTCCTTCCAGCTGCGATCTAAGTTAATATCACCGCGTGTCGAGTTTCGGACTCCGGTGGAGTGCCCAGTTCCTGTTCTACAATCATTATACTCTGAGAGGGGAAGAATGGAAGGAAGGAAAGGGAGGAAATGGGCTGGCCTCACTCCAGAGGCTAGAAGAAACTAACTGGCAGAAGTCGAAAGACGATTATTCATGTGGAGGGGAAACACCAGAAGATTATCCTTTTCCCCTTCTACCTCTCTGGACACTCGAGATGACACCGTCGAAATAGAACCACAAATGGGAAAAAAAAAGAGATGAAAACCCACAGTTTCGTTCTTGTCTGGCATGAACATCTTTCATCGAATCGAGAAGTCTCGAGTTCAACGACAGGGTTGGTCGCAATGGAAGCCTCCCAGCTGTCTCCGCCCGTCACAATGGCTCTCGTTACAGGGGGAAAGAGACTCGTGCAGTTTGGGTAAAAAAAAAAAAAAAAAAAGCTCTCTCCCTCTAGAAAAACATATTTCCCATGGGGTTCATTATTTTTCAAGTCCTTCCTCTTCGATAGAGATGCTGAGTATGGGAAAAATCTTCTTATCTCCAGGTCGTTATGAAGGGATAGACATGTTACATAGAGCATATAATAGCCGTAACAGCCTGGATGCTATGACATTGATGGTATCAGCAAGCAAAAAGTGGAAGAGATGGAAAGAAAACGATCCCTGGAGAACCCAATACAAAGAGATGACATGGGTATGCCAGTTGCTTCAAACTCGTTCGATGTAATTGGATTAGACGCAGAAAGCCCCATTGGGAGACGTCATAATTTTAAATGTTCATTTTGCAAAGAGGGGGAGGCATTTCACGATTCTCGGAACCGGTTCATATGCAGGGGTTTATGCTTGATATAGAAGCAGGGGGATTTCCTGGAGACTCGTATTACTACGTAAGAATTGCACGAAAGGGAATGGAAAGAGCAAAGGGAAGGGAGAATGTGACAAGGAGCACAATAGTCGAGAACTTATGTGCAGGCAGAGGGACAATATTTGAGTTCCTGTCGGGGCCAAATTCTCTTCCACCCCCTCCGAGGCGTACAGAGTCATGGACACAGCTAATGCCCGCCTTCCCAGATTCTATAGTCTATAGCCTCCCTGCACAAGCTAGAAAGGCGGATGAATGCACGCCGGGATTGGGCCAGATGAGATGACTCAGCTCGGGGCATAATAGAGTCATCTACTTTTTTTTCTGTCTCTCTCTCTCTCTCTCTCCCACCAGGGTAATTAACATCCTCATTATCTCAGATACTCAGCCATGGTTCCCGCGGACGGATAAAAACCAAGCCTCGCAACCTTGCCTCCTACATATTTCTTCGTATCAGAAGGAGATTGATGAAATGACCCTGCGGCGGAGACTCGGGGATTATTTTGCATGCATCTCTTGAAAGGCTTAGACCACCCCGGAACACACCACAGCATATCTCCACCATCGCAAAAAAGTTATAGACTTTTTTGACGATTACGTGACGAGATTTTCTTAGCCCTCTCCGCGTGACCAGAAGGGGAAAAAAAGAAACATAGAAGGAAAAAGACATGGAAGGAAAATTGGATCAAAAACCCAGGCCGTTGACACATCAGTAATTGCATGTGGGCTGCAACGTTAATTATGGCCAGCCTCGAGAGAGAAGAGCGAGAAAATTCAATCTAGGAAGAAGAGGAAGTTTTCGTCCGGATGGAGGGGAATCACGCGGGGATTTGCTTATGCAAATTCGTTTCCTAGGAAAGTCTAATGAATAATCGGGGGCATTGTCACCAGCGGTTGAGCCTGTGATAGATTGCCCTCTTCCCAAATCCCTCAATTCTATCTCGGTCTAGTCGAGATGGGGGATTTTGCCCCTCGAGTCGGGAAATGCCCTAAATGACAGTACGAGATCGTGCAGGAACTTCTCGGCTCATTCTGTCTCCCTCGCGAAGAGACAAATTGGAACGAAGAAGGATATGAAGTGTGTCTCCATACGTAACACCTCATTTAACAAATATCTCGCTCACATATGCAACTTCACGCATGCACACCATCTGGCACCGAGTGAGAGCAAAAAAAAGGTCCCGACGAAAAATGACAGAGCCATTTTGCCATAGAGTACAATGGGGGAAAAGAAAGAAGTCGTCGCCGCAGCTTCTGTTGAGATAGGCAACCTAATTGGGTCCATTCAGAAAAGCCAAGCACAGAGACTTTATCAGCCGGGGATCTTTTATGGCCACCATAAAACCCTAACGAATGGCCCCCACTTTGATTGATAGAAATGTCCGCCTCCTGCCATTATGCAAGAAATAAATCCTCACG